GCCAAAATATATTTATAATCCACATATACATGTTGATACATTTTCAACCCCCCAAAAGTATTTTTATCCTGGATTTTATGTAAAGATTTTTGTAGTTGCTTTATCATTTCCCATAAATTTTCTTTGAAAATAACATTTTTACAGTAAATTATTTGTAAGCAAACAATCATGTTCAAAATGGTATGTAATGTGAACTTCTCCTATTTTGAAGAAAATGTAATGAGAGCTTGTTGCAAAAATTGTTAGAATTTGACCGTTATACATAATTTTTAGTAAGAGTATCACAGACATTATGTTATGGCACAGAAATCTATTTAAAATAAAATTCTGAATCTAAACATACATAAAGGTGTGCCTATTAATTCTAAGTAAGGAGGAGAGATTAAGGACTGAGAAAAAGGTACTACATTGTATTTTTATGAAACTACACAACTTTCAAAATTGCATTATCAGTTACGTAATTTCAATCTACTAGACTCCTTTGAGGTACTTAGGATATACTTTTAATGATTTCCTTGCTCATCTTTAAGATCTTTATTTTCCCTATCTGATTATTAAATATATGCTCACTTAATTTTTTTCAAACAACTCAGTAAGTATAAGGAATAGAGTAAAAGCCACTGGGTGTCTCACCCCCAACGTTCATATCCATCGTTTTAGATATTTTCTGTGCATGTACAGGTAATATGTACAAGAATGGGATCTCATTAGCACAGTATCGTAAACACCCTGTATACATTTTCTATTGCTGTAGAACAGTTTACCAGCATTCCAAGACCCAGTCCTTGTAAAGTTATGTGGTCCTCTGAGGAATTAGGAAGTTTACCTCTTTATCATTCCCACCATCCTTGTGTATATAAACATCTCCATCATGGTTATTATTTTCCCAGTATCTGAATGACATGTTATACCTCTGGCAGCTAAAGTTCTTGAACAAAAACCTTACCTTAAAGCTCAAATCCAGTCGGCTGGCTCCAAGCCTGGATCCCCTTTCTAGGACAAGCGGTGGTGGTCCTTTGGGAGACTGGAGACACGCGGGCAGCAGAGGACAGCTGAGATGGGGGAGCTGACGAGCCTGTGAAGTGGGACAAGAGAGAGGAAAGTGCAAATTAATTCGTAAAAGTAAAACCAGCCTTCCATGTATTTTATTCAGTAGTTTCCAACAAGAGCCAAACTGCTCAGCCTGGGCTACATACAGGAGGGCCTAGTTTTTCTTGTTAAGTCCCCGACATAGGGGAGTTGATGTACAGCCCCCTTTCAAGCTGGGAAACATGCCCTCTAACGACAGTCTATGGGAATCTGCTTCTTCATAGGAAAATAGAAAGGCAGAGACAGGATGCACAGGAGATGGGCAGGCTGCCCCTTATCACTCAGGGTTCACTTTCATTGCCAGAGATTTCCTGCCTCTCAAACGTTAAAGCACCATAGACAGGAGCCTCGCCTGGTGCCTTTGCCCTTGTGCGCCTTTCCAGTCTGGGAACGCTGTCTCGCAGGATCCAGAAACACTAACAGGTTTGTAGTCTTTGACACAGCGTATCAGATGCTGTGGCTTGGGTCAGAGGCTGAGCTCCTTCCTGTGTCTTTGAGCTCTGGAAGGTGAAATGCCACATTTCCAGATGGCCTTGCAGACACAGCCCCAGGTGTGAGCTCTGTCCCCCAGACGCCTGCGTTCAGAACTGAGTCAGGAGGCGAGCGGGCAGGATATGGGGTTCCCGTCTCCTGGCACAGCTAAGGCAGCAGGACCTCACAGCAGGCCGCTGCCCTGCTGGGTGGGTCTGCTTCTTCTGGCAGAAATAGGGAAATGCGGGGCTAGAAATCGTCCCCAGCCCTGTGGAAAACGCTCCATCCACATTTTCAGTCATGCCAACCATTTGGAAACCACGGAATACATGATAAAAATATTTTTTGCTTAAACTAGCCAGAGTAGTTTCCGTTATCTGCAACTGAATGCCCACCAGCCCAGGTATGTCGGGGTCTCTAAGACCACCCTTGGGCTTCATGGGTCGGTGGAAGGACTCAGAGGACCAGAAGTTGTTCTATTCACAGTTACAGGTTATTATAGCAGAAGGATAGAGCAAAATCCCAAAGGGAAAGTCACGTGGGCAAAGTCTAGGGGAAACCAGACACAAGCTTCCGAGAGTCCTCTCTCAGCAGTGCCACGGGACTCACTTAATTCCTTCAGCAAGGATGGCTGACGCCGTGGCTGCAGGACTGCCCCACCTGCCGCAGAGGGAGAGCAGGTGTTCAGCATAAACCACCTGCAGAAACCATGACAGCAGGGATCAGCCCCCAAGCATGCAGAACACTCCTCCAGTCCATGTACCCCGAGAGCTCGGTCGCCAGGAGCCAGCCAAGGGCGGACATGGAAGCAGCCCGTTCCTGGGTATGTGCACGGTCCCAGGGACCCAGAGCTGCTGCCTTAACCCTCTCCTGCCCACGAGGAATTCCACTTCTGGACAGGTAAAGAGTTACCCGAAATATGCAAGACACTAAAAACTACAAAGAGAGTAATTGTAATTTAAAACAGCCAAAAGCTGGGGGTGGGAGTAGAGGTTTGGTGACTAGAGGTCTCACAATATGAAGATGTTACATCAATTATGGTTCATCCACTTAACTAAGTTTTAGGCCACCACTAAACACCAGTATGGTAAAATGATTATATGGGATGAAAAGTCAGGGTATAAAACCGTACACAAACTGTTACCTCACTGCCCGATGTACAGTGAGGCCAAACAATACCAAAACATTGGAGTTTGGAGCAGACAAAGGTTTACTGCAGGGCACCGCAAGGAGACGGATGACTCAAGCCTTAAAAACCCTTATGTCCCTGAAAGCTTTCAGCAAAGTCCCCTTACAGGAAAGGTGAGGGAGGGGCGTAGTTAGTTGCTGCAGGCTTCTTGGTGTCAGATCCGTTGTTGTTGAGGTCGGGTCATGGTCAGGTCACAATGTTGCTGTAAACCTCCCCCACATGCCGCGGAGCTGCTGGGCCCATGAGCCATGGCCGCAGAGCCTGCGTGCACGGAGCCTGTGCTCCGCAATGGGAGAGGCCACAACAGTGAGAGGCCCGCGTACCGCAAAAAAAAAAAAAAAATCTTCTTTCTTTTATGCTAGGGGCACTATAAGATGGAATAGAACTCCGATTATCACAGCAGGTGTTATCAAATACCAAACAAACAAATGCAGTGCAAAACGGTCTCTCGGAATCACAGTTCCCTAGCACCAAAAAGGAGATTCCCACCCATTGCAAAGTGAAATCCCAACCAAAGCTCCACCACAGGAAAAACCGAACATAATGGGAAAGGATACCTGGTGTCATCACACTTGAGCTCCGTTTTTCACCAAAGACGTCTCAACAAGCCAATGCAAGTACTGATTCACACACATACAATATATAAATAACAAACACGGTCCCACAAACAAAAGCACAAGCCAGAGTGGCTCACCCCAAAATGACATATACAAAAACACAAACAACAAATAAGCTACAGTCGCATAGACAGAAAATCAGAGGAAGGTAGTCTAAAATTCCACTTCCACTTCCAGACGGAGGCCTCCAAACACAGTGGTCCAGCTCTCAAGAGAACGGACCCAAAGTGGCTCACTTGCTGCAACGGAAGCAGCCCAAATGGAGTGGAGCGAATTCCCAGCCTGCACAAGCTGGAGTGACTTACCCCCAAGCGACACCAAATGCGGACCACAGCTCCGGATGTTTCTCTGCTCCCAACAGCCTCGTGCACTGGGGCGGCTGACCTCTATCAGGGAGAGCCCCTCCCAGTTCCCTGGAGCAAAATGAGCTCCAGAAGCTGCTGAGAACTCAGGAAAGGGGCTGCCCCTGGCTGGGGTCCACTGGCCACTGGCACAGACATCCTGGCTAGCTCGCTATAATTGTTACCAAAACACAAGTCCGTGTGCCTCATACACAAGAGAGGCCAAACAATACTGAAATGTCAGAGTCTGGAACAGAGAAAGGTTTATTGCAGGGACATGCAAGGAGATGGGTGGCTCATGCCTTAAAAACCCCAAACTCAAGCTCGAGGAGAAGATGGCGGGAGAGTAAGACACGGAGACCTCCTTCCTCCCCACAGATACATCAGAAATACATCTACACGTGGAACTGCTCCTATAGAACAGGTACTGAATGCTGGCAGAAGACCTCAGACTTCCCAAAAGGCAAGAAACTCCCCCATGTACCTGGGTAGGGAAAAAGAAAAAAGAATAAACAGAGACAAAAGAATAGGGACAGGACCTGCACCAGTGGGAGGGAGCCGTGAAGGAGGAAAGGTTTCCACACACTAGGAAGCCCCTTCGCGAGCAGAGACTGCAGGTGGCGAAGGGGGTAAGCTTCAGAGCCACGGAGGAGAGCACAGCAACAGGGATGCAGAGGGCAAAGCAGAGAGATTCCCACACAGAGGATGGGTGCCAACCGGCACTCACCAGCCCGAGAGGCTTGTCTGCTCCCCCACTGGGGTGGGCAGGGGCTGGGAGCTGAGGCTCGGGCTTCGGTCAGATCGCAGGGAGAGGACTGGGGTTGGCAGCGTGAACACAGCCTGAAGGGGGTTAGTGCACCACGGCTAGCCGGGAGGGAGTCCGGGGAAAAGTCTGGACCTGCCGAAGAGGCAAGAGACTTTTTCTTGCCTCTTTGTTTCCTGGTGCGCAAGGAGAGGGGATTAAGAGCGCTGCTTAAAGGAGCTCCAGAGACAGGCATGAGACGCTAAGGCTGCTGCTGCCGCCACCAAGAAGTCTGTGTGCAAGCACAGGCCACTATCCACACTGCCCCTCCCGGGAGCCTGTGCAGCCCGCCACTGCCAGGGTCCCGGGATCCAGGGACAACTTCCCCAGGAGAACGCACGGCGCCCATCAGGCTGGTGCAACATCATGCGGGCCTCTGCCGCTGCAGGCTCGCCCCCCACTCTGTACCCCTCTCCCCGGCCTGAGTGAGCCTGAGCCCCAGAATCAGCTGCTCCCTTAACCCCGTCCTGTCTGAGCAAA